GCAGGGGCAGGAGTCACAGCCTATCAGACTGACCAGGAGCATCCCTCCCCCTGCTAGGACGGCCTTACACTCTGAGTGTGGCCCTGCCAGGCTCCATCCTAGACAACGCCCAGTCACCTGAGCTTCGCACCTACCTGGCTGGCCAGATTGCTAGAGCCTGCACCATCTTCTGTGTGGACGAGATTGTGGTGTTCGATGAGGAGGGCCAAGATACCAAGTGAGCCTCTTCATGGGGAGGGAAGGGCCACCAGGGTTGGCTGTGGCTTTGCCCTGTCCCTTGTCACCTGCCTCCCTCTTCCTAAGTGCCCTGACTAAAACACCCACATTGAATCCTTATATCTGTGGAGGCAAGGACTCTTGACACTGGGTGGGAGAAGCTCTCAAAGGCAGCTGCAGTTGCATCGAGCTCAGCATTTTTCGGATGCTCTACCACTGAGGCTACAGTCCATTCAGCACTTGGACCTGGTTTTGTTTCTGTGGAGGCAAGGACTCTTGACACTGGGTGGGAGAAGCTCTCAAAGGTAGCTGCAGTTGCATCGAGCTCAGCATTTTTCGGGTGCTCTACCACTGAGGCTACAGTCCATTCAGCACTTGGACCTGGTTTTGTTCATGTTTGTTTATGGTGCTTGTAAACCCACACCAGTGTGCTTGTAGAGATCAGATGACAACTTAGGTCGGGCAGGGGCAGTGTACACCTTTAGTCCCAGCACTTGGGAGACAGAGGCAGGAGGATCTCCATGAGTTCGAGGCCAGCCTGGTCTACAGAGTGAGTTCTAGGACAACCAGGGCTACACAGAGAAACTCTGTCTCGAAAAACCAAAAATTAAATAAATAGGGGGCTGGAGAGATGGCTCAGGGGTTAAGACCACTGACTGCTCTTCCAGAGGACCAGGTTCAATTCCCAATGCCCACAGGGCAGTTCACAACTGTCTGTTCACAACTCCAAAATTGGAGACCCTCACACAGACACAGAACCAGGTAAAATACCAATGCACATAAAATAAATAATTTTTTTAAAAGTTAAGAGAGTGAGTAAGTAAATGAATGAATGAATAAGTCAACTTGCAGGAGTCAGGTCATCAGTTCTTTCCTTTTGGGATTCTGGACATGGAACTTAGGTTTTCAAGATTAGGAGTAAGAGCCCTTAACTGGATAGGCCATCTCTCCAGCCCAGCACTTGAACTTTGAGCTGTCTTTGTCTTTCCAGGACTGTGGAAGGAGAATTCAAGGGAGTTGGCAAGAAGGGGCAGGCATGTGTACAGCTGGCTCGCATCCTGCAGTACCTAGAGTGTCCACAGTAAGTGAGGGATGGTGATATACTCTTGGAAGTATCTGGGAAGCAGCTTCCCCAGGAAGGACCTGACAGATGTGAGGGGAGGGTGGTGTCCCCCTGGATGTAGCTGGGGAGTAGCCTCCCCAGGAAGGAAGGTCTTGACAGCTGCATTCTTCCCCAGGTACCTGAGAAAGGCTTTCTTCCCCAAGCACCAGGATCTGCAGTTTGCAGGTATGGCTGGTGTGCCTGGTGTTGCATCTTTAGGCACTGAGAAACTATCTAGCCCTACTTATCCAAGTAGGACAGCAGGCCTGAGAGTGTAAGCCTGGCCCTGACATCACTCTCCTGATGCCAGGGATCCTCAACCCCTTGGACAGTCCTCACCACATGCGGCAGGATGAGGAATCTGAGTTCCGAGAAGGCATCGTGGTAGACCGGCCCACCAAGGCAGGCCATGGCTCTTTGGTCAACTGTGGACTGAAGAAGGTAGGAATGGAAGGTGGGCTATGGCACACCTTGAGGACACTTGCTAGCTCTGAAGACAAGTCAAGGACATATGAACAGGGACCTGAACTCTAGGCCTGCTGTGAAACACCACAAAAGATGAACCTAGAGAAGATGAAGAGATGGCTCATTGGTTTAGAGCACCAGCTCTTGCATAGGACCCAGGTTCAGTTTCCAGCACTGACATGGTGGCTCACAAACCACCTGTAACTCCTGTTCTAGGGAATCTGATGCCCTCTTCTGACCTCAATGGGCCCCAGGCATGAACATGATACACAGACATGCATGCAGGCAAAAAGCCACACACATAAAATAAAAATAAGTGAGAGATGAAGCCAGGACCAAACTCGTGTTGCTAGTGGTGGTGTGTTTGCTTATTTATTTTTGTTACTGAGATCTAATCATGTCTGTCACTAGCATGTTCTCAGCTTTGCTGGTTTTGGTGTTAGTTGACATTTAAGTTTTTTTATTTTTAATGTATGTAGGTATGAATGTGTAGGTAAACATTCACATGCTAAGGAGTAAGTGTGAGGTCAGAGAACAACTTGACAAGTGTCAGTTTTCTCCTCCCACTGAGTGGGGATTGAACTCTGGTCATCAGGCTTGGAGACAAATGCCTTTTCCTGGTGAGCCATCTTGCGGATCCAAGAGTAGCTCTTGTTTATAATGTCTTTTATTCAACAGATGAGGAGACTGAGGCACATGGGTGCTAACTGACCTCCTCAAACTCCTACAGCCAGCAAGTGGCAAAGCCACCATAAGGAAGAAATCTGTGACTTCATCCTTTTTTTTAACATTTATTTATTATATATAGTATACAGTGTTCTGTCTGCATGTATGCCTGCAGGCCAGAAGAGGGCACCAGATCTCATTGCTGGAAATTGAACTCAGGACCTCCATAAGCGCAAACAGGGCTCTTAACCCCTGAACATGGCTCTAGCCCGAGACCTCATCTCTTTGTAGACACTGACTCTCCATGTCCTAAGCCCCAGGCTTCCATTTCTGACCAATTCCCTGTGATAATTGTTCTTCGTGATGGTCCCTCTTAGTAGGTCCCACCCAGTGCCAGAAACAGGGTGGCAGGTTGACCTGGCACCATAGTTCCTCCACTGGGTCTCTGAGAGCGCTGGCCCCTTTTGAAGTGTGGCACTCATTGCCTCTGGCTTCTCTGCAGGAGGTGAAGATTGACAAGAAACTGGAACCTGGACTTCGAGTGACCGTGCGACTGAACCAGAAGCAGCTCCCAGGTATCTGGAAGCTTCCTTGGCCCTTACAGTTGATTGGCTCAGAGCCTCCTCCTACCTACCTCCCTGTCTCCTTGGTCTTCATAGCCTGTTTTGCTCCCCAGAATGCAAGACATACAAGGGGACAGTTGTGTCATCGCAGGACCCCCGCACCAAAGCTGGTCTCTACTGGGGCTACACTGTTCGACTGGCCTCCTGTCTCAGTAAGGACAGAAGTTGCTTCCCTGAATGTCCCTCTGTCCCTTCTGTTATACCCACAAGTCCGAGCAGGGTCTCTGTTCTACTAGAGGGTATGTGTTTAGGTGGCACCATCTCTGGTCTCATCTCTGGTGCCCTAGTCTCCCCAGCGTCTATTCGGAATGCTAAGAACATCTGAGAGCAGGGTGTGGTTGGCTCCCAGCTGCCATCCCAGCACTAGGAGGCCAACACAGGAATCTCACTGTAAACCTGAGACCTCTCGAACACCAAATTAGGAAAGCCTTCTGAAGCGAGTGTAACTGCTGAACGTTGTCTAGGGCTTGGGCGCTCTTCCTGCCTAGCCTGTGTGCTCCCAGGCCAAGCTCAGGCTTCAGCTCCACCATTCCCTGCCCTCAACTTTCCAAGAACGTATATGGCCTCCTTTACCTGAGCTCTCTCTCCACCTGACCTTACAGTATGTTAGGCACACAGCCAAGAGCAGAACCCCACTGAGCTAGCTCCACCCCCAGGTGCTGTGTTTGCTGAGGCTCCCTTCCAGGATGGGTATGACCTGACCATTGGGACATCAGAGCGAGGCTCCAACGTGGCCTCTGCCCAGCTGCCCAGCTTCAGGTGGGTGTTGCTTAAGCCAGCGACTGGATCCTACTGTACATGGGGGTTGGGAGCCTAAAACTCTGAGGACTATATCCCATCGAGCTTTGACGTCAGTGACTCCCTTTCTCTGGGTACCAGGCATGCTCTTGTGGTGTTCGGGGGCCTCCAAGGGCTGGAAGCTGGAGTGGATGCTGATCCCAACCTTGAAGTGTCGGAACCCAGTGTCCTGTTCGACTTTTATGTCAACACATGCCCCAGCCAGGGCAGCCGTACCATCCGCACTGAGGTGAGCCACAGCCACAGGCACCCAGTTCTTCTTGTAACCCACCCTAAGTGCCTTTTCTGAAGATGTACTTATGTATTTCATATACATGGATGTTTTGTCTGCATGTACTTCGTATCAGAAGAGAGCATCAGATCCCATGAGACTACAGGTATAGACAGTTATGAAGCATTATGTGGTTGCTGGGAAATGAACACAGGACCTCTGGGAAAGCAGTCAGTGCTCTTAACCACTGAGCCATCTCTACAGCCTCAGCCTAAATGTCGTTTCTACAGATGGGGTCTTTACCATAGCAAACTAGTGGCAGGGACAAGATAAAAGAGCCATAAAGATGGCAAGTCCTGGGCCAGTAGTATTCTTATGTTCCCAGGTTGAGGGGCCCAGGTAACCTGCCTATCCCTATTCAGGGCCTCAGCTTCCCTGGTGGTACCCTAAGTCCCTCTGGGTGTCAACATTTCTGTGCTGGGGGAAAGGGTCTCACAAGACTGGAGCATCCATGGCACCTGTGTGACCGTCTTTGGGGCCAGTATGGAATGCTGTCTCTATGGGTTCTATAAGGGTGGTGACTGGAGGTTGACAGCCCCAGTCTGCCTGTCCCTGAGGCCCTGCCCATGTCATTGCCGCTAAACCAGCTGAAAAGAACTGCCCATCATCTTATCCTTCCTGGCTCTTGAGGTAGGCCCCACATGGGGCTGGGTCTTGGGAGCTGGCTGTGAAGCAAGGACCTGGGACCACTGCCTAACTACCAGATCCCAGCCAACTTCTTTTCTTCCAGGAAGCCATACTCATCTCCCTGGCTGCCCTACAACCTGGCCTCACCCAGGCAGGTTCCTGAACTACCTGACAACTTTGTGGATCCAGGGAGACAGAGACTTACCAGAAATAGAGATGGTCAAGACTTGTCTCCAAAAATAACCACCTTTAATATGAGCCAGCCCCTTCTCCCAGTGTCTTCAGTCCTTCACCCTCACTTGCTGCCAGCAGTGATGGCCTTGAGGTTTCCAGCTCGAGCCAGGATATTGGGCACAAAGAGCAACCCAGAGGCACGCTCAATGCTCTCGATCGGCACCAGGAAGCGCTCCAAAGGGATAGTCTCATCCACAGGGGCATTGGGCATCACATAGGAACGCAGCTCAATTTGCCCACTGGTGGCCTCCAGGATGAGCACCTTGAAGAAGTGTGTGGGCACTGCTACGTGGTTTTTTCCAATAACCTGGTACTTCACATAGGACTTCCCATCAGCCTCCGTCCTGAGGATAGACCAGGCACACATGGCCACCTCTTCCAGGAAGCCTTCCCTGACCTGACCAACAAGAAATTGAAGTGCCAAGCCTGGTTGCCTCCTTGGGTCTGGGAACTCTGTAAGGTGGGGACCAACGCTTAGCCCTCTGCTTTTCTGCCCAATACTGGTTCAGCCAGAATGGGTGGCAATAAATGCTGCTAGAGGAATGAGCTCTGTACACCATGTAGACATGTGACTGTCCCTATAGGCAGTGCAAGCAGCAATCAAGGAGGTGCGAGCCATGACAGTGGGAATCCCAGTCCCAGCCCAGGGCCTGGTGTTCAGCAGGATGAGCAGTAGCTTCCAGTTTGCTCAGCAACTGCCTTGCCCAGCCTGTGCTGATCACAAGGCTTTCTGATGTTCAGAGGAGCTTAGCTTGCCTGTCTGGCAGGACTGAAAAACTGATCTTGGGAAAGAATGCTTCAAGCACAGCAAAGGTGTGAGCTTGGTGCCCCAACATGGGTTATGGAGGGGTGACAAGATGTGTCAAAAGATTTGGGGCCTAGAAACTGGGCACAGGAGATTTCTGGGCCACCCAAAGATCTCTGGCTACATCGAAGCAGGAAGTCCAACATTGGAGAATAGGGGTGGGAGGCTTACCTGGGCAGGAAAAGAGGCCCTGTGCAGACATAGACATTTTGGTAAGTGCGAGTCAAGCTTCGGCTGTACTTCTCAAGGTTGTTCCAGGCATTCTGGTTGAGATGTGGCACCTGGTGGGAGAAGCAAGGTTCAGGACCTTCTGTTAGGAGTGCCCAGGTCCTAAGGAGATGACCAAGCATGTGGAGGGCAAAGGCTCAAAGAAGGGGTCACTCCTTGAGGCACTGTGACTACAGGGGTTGAGCTTTGGTAGGGCTGACCACTACTAGCCACACCCCTTTCGTTCCTAGGCACTTCAGATCTCTACGTTTTCCCCAGCTCAGAGAACCAAAGAAAGAGGGAGCATTAATCATATAGAACTCTCCCTCGGCCTGCCAGGCCTCAGAATGAACCTGAAAAAGGGTGTGGTGGGGGAGAGGGTCAGCCCCATGCCCCTATCCATCTCCAGTCACTGGATGGATGTCCCAGGAACCCAGTTCCTGGGAGCAGGTGCAGTGCTAACAATGTGTTCAGGGTGATGTGACTGGCACAAGCAAATCCAACTTCGTGGCAGCTGTTTTGTTGGCAGCTGCTGCAGGCCAGCTGGATATACGGAGTAGGAAACCTCCTGAGTTCCCTCAGAAAACCACACTGGGCAGCTTACTGGCTGGCATTACTGCTACTCCGTGTAAGTTCAAACCCGCCTGACTACAAATAGGACAATTCCTTCCTGCAACGGGGGTGCACGTGTAAAGTCAGACCAAGGTGCTGCTGTCAAGCAGGTGACAGCAGCCCCTTGGCTACCCCTTGGGGACCATGGCTACCTGTGGGGCCACGTTGCTCAGGTAGAAGGTGTCGTCCATGGCCCGCTGGCTCCAGCGGTGGTTGGCGGCGGCGGCCAAGTGGCCGCGGTCAAAGCCGCTGCCGCGATAGTCCGCGTTAGTGGCACGGTGGTACGCATGCACAGAGTCGTCCTCTCGGAAGTCGCAGGCGCTGCGGTCGCCGTCGCCACG